TTTAATTATGTATAAATTAAAAAGTATAGCTGAGACATCTCTCTCTCGTGGCACAATAGAACAAATTATCCACAATTATCTCAAGATGAAAAAAGTTACATCTCGTTGGATACCTCATCAACTGAATGATGAACAAAAGCAAGAACGAGTTCGACTTTGTCGTGAAAATTTAGCAAAATTTCGTGATGGTTCCTGGCGATTATGTGATATTATTACAGGTGATGAGACGTGGATTTACCATAGGCAGATTCATCACAGGTCAACAAAAAAAACCTGGATTGGCGAAGGTGAATCACCACGTACTATCGCTCGTCGACGCAAATTTGAACGAAAAAATTTATTTTCTATATTCTTTAAATCAAATCGTCCTGTTCTAATACATGCTGTTGATAATGACGAGACTATAGATCACGACTATTATATAGAAAATTGTCTCAAGCCTGTTGTCAAAGAAATACGGAAACAAAGAAAGTCAAATGGTACTAAAGGCATAAAGTTGCTTCACGACAAGCCTTCACCCCATCGTCATTCATATATTATTAATTATTTAACAGAAGAAGGTATCAATATAATACCACATCCACCATTTTCACCTGACCTTGCACCCTGTGATTATTGGCTAAATGATTACATCAAACAGAATTTAACTGATCAATCAGATGAAAAATCATTGACTCGTGCAGTTTCTAAGCTAATAAAAAATATTCCAGAAGAAGAATTTAAAAAAACTTTTGACAAACTATTAGAGAGGATGAAACTTTGTATAAATAATCATGGTGGCTATTTTGAACATTCAATAAAATAAAACTCGAACTTTCTCGTTGTCTTTATATATTTTTTTAATAATCTGGGAACTTTTTGTACGGCCTAAGTATAAGTTATATAAAAACGCCTCATTCCATGACCGTTTAGTTTTAAAATCCAACTTCGCTTTAAATCTTTACCATCACCAATAATCTTTCAAAAACTATCAATATTCTGCCAATGCGCAAACTTCCGAAGCATTTAATTCTCTACTGTACACTCTCAATTCATCTACCAATCCATTATAATATCCCAAGCCCCCCAATACACCTGTCGTTGAACATCCATTCGCTGGATATGGAATTGCCTCTAGAGTACTTACCAATGTCAGATAGTTTGCTACACCACTAGCACCATACGTTGTAACTGTAGAATCTTGTGCATACAATGCACCATTAATATATAATATTAAGCCGTTCGCAAGACTCCATGTCTGTACAACATGTGTCCATGAATTTAACGGTGGGATTGGACCTAGCACATACTTAGCTGTAGTACCACCCCATATTTGAATGGCTAAATTAGTAGTACTAGCGAAACCAATGAACGGAAGACACCAACCATCGGTACCTGGAAAGAGAAATAGATATTTGAAAAAACTGTGTCAAATCCAATACTACAATCAAAAAGCGTTTGTGTGTTTGTTACTGAAACATGTTCATTTTTCTAATTTGTGAACAACTTGACATTTTTAAGTTAAGTTTTTGATAGAGCACATGCAAATGTATAAATATCTCGAGAAAATGCACAGAAACGTAGGGATTTGTCTGAAAAAAATAGAAAAACGTTAAAAATTGCCAAATTTGTTTACAAACTAGTAGAACTAGGCTGAGTCTTTCTGCAATAAAAACAGTAGAAATGCTTTACACTTCAGTGCTGTGGTAGTGAAAATTTCTATGACAAATTTTTATACCATTTTTGAACATTGATATATGTACAATTGTACCGGAAAGAATACTTGGACTGATGTAGAGTGCAATTGAAAATGGAGTAGTTGAACTGCCAAGTGATGCAATATTACTAACTTGAAAATAAGAATTAATTGTGCCCGTAAATGATAGACATTGATTACGTTCGTCAGGTACGTTTGTTACAGATACAGCTGTTGCTGTTAGGGTTGCATTAACATCATATAGATAGGACGGTGAAGAATCTAATGGGAAATATGCAACTAGATTAAGACTGGAGGCGAATACAGGACTGCAAGCGGTAGTGGTAGTCGATGTTGTAGTGGTAGCTGATGTTGTGATGATAGCTGATGTTGTGGTGATAGCTGATGTTGTGGTGATAGCTGATGTTGTGGTAGTAGATACTGTTGTAATGGTTAAAATGACATTGGTGGCTACAATCAAATGATATTTTGGCCGAAGTTTTATTGTTTTCAAGTTTTATTTCTATTTGTAATAGTTATTTAATCTGTCACCTTGAACAAACTAACAACAGAACCATACACACAAACAATGCACACGCAGCTCCTTCTTTTCTATTCTTCAGCATGGATCTATGAGTGACTTCACTTGTGCTCCAGAGCAAAAAAGATGGACGCTATTAGAATGACTTAAAATCATTTTTTTCCAGCGTGCCTACATTATTTGTGTTAATGGATTTGCTATTAGACTGTTTAAGGTGACCGCATAAACAGAATAGGCTATAAAAATGAACGCGTTTCAAACCGTCGCAGTAGTTATTCTATTCAATTGAGACTCACTCGTTGAGCTGGATGCTTGTTGATTAGAACTGAGTAAAGCCACAAGAAGTCCTGCGAGTCCAATGAGAAAAAGAACTGTTCCCAATAGAGACGCTGCGACGCAGCATGGCAAACACGGGAGATTGCCGCAACACCTCCTTCTACAAGAAGCAAAAAATCTAATGACAGTAACAGAACAGAAAATACGAACTTGCGCCATTTCTGCGCTTGTGGTTTTGGTTTAGTAAAGTTGCGCGTGGATTTCGATTGTTTTAACGATGGTTTTATCTGTTCAGTCACTGATAATAAATAGTTAAATCACTGTTAACGGCCAGACTTACCGCTAAGTTAGCATCATCAGTCGGTTCACTCTGAACAGAGTAACGGCTCAAACATATTGTTAATCAGAAATGCTACTTACGTTGCTGTATTTTGGGTTGAAATGGTTAACCGATATAGATGAATCTGTCTTCTTATTGTTACAAAGCATATCAAACTGATGATCAAATGGAGACACGTTTCTGGATGAGAGCAATGATTTTGACATTTCAGCCTGTTCCAGCTGTTTATTGTTACCTGCATTTCGCCCGGTGTCCGAAATGCGAGTCTATGGAAGCAAAATAGTTGTCCTTTTTCCAAGAAAAATTCATAACGCTTAGAATTTCAGATACTCCGCAGTGAATTGTTCACCCAGAACAGATTCATCGAAATCGGATGAATTTTCATGAGGACCACAGGGCCCAGAAGCACTAAATCGCGATCTGCAGAGTAGCTGTCTAATTCGAGTTCGAATATAAATGAAGAAAAGAAAAAGCTAAACTAAAACTAAATCTATTCCTAGATTTAGTTTTAGTTTAGCTTTCCGATATATGCGACATATGAATACATATATACCCCTAGAACCACACGCCAAGGTATACAACCCAGACACCACCCCTGGTACCCACGCCCACACTTGAAGTGCCCACCCCTCAACCCACATCCACTCCATCTTAAACTGAATCTAAAACTAAAACTAAATCTATTTCTATCATTTATTTTCGAATTGATACCATGCACTTGGGTGTCCATTTCTATTCGAATGCGAACTAGGCATCTCGTGGAGCGCAGGTACTACAAACTGTACCGCATTCATTCAGGTATCGACAATATTGAAAAACAACGATTCAGATTGAGAAACATCGAAGTACTCTATATACAAAAGTGTAATCAGACGCCGACTCTCTGACAAGGACTGAATAATAAATCTTTTTATGATGAGAATAGAGTGATAAATCCTTAGAGACAAATTAACAAATGATACGGAAGGATATTTAATGCAAAACTGAAATATTCTAATGGGAAACAGACATTTTGCACTAAATTTTCATTACTATCTCCCAACATATAAAAACATACATGCTCTTCGGAATGACAAAAATTTAAAACAACCAGGGTGTTCTGAATGAAAGTTGTTCAATAGACCGTAATGAACAGCAGTATTTTTGGAAAACAAAAAAACTTAAATTTGCATGGAGTTCGCGATGAAAATGACCAGAAGATCGTAATGAAAAGAGGGGGGGGGGAGGTGCGTAACTATGTTTATGTGTTCACTTTTTTGAGAGATTTCAAATGACTCAGTAGCTTATATTTAAAGGTAATAAACAGAACAAAGTTCTGGTGAACACAATAAATCTTTTTCAACACAGAAAAAGAACTTACAGGGAGACAGAGAAAGACACAAGAAATAGCATAAACAATCGAACAAAGAACACGAAACAGAGAACAAAATCATAAAAATGGGTGTGAGTGTAGTAACAAATAAACAAACCCACACCCTTATATAGTATTTCTATTCTTCATAATATAGCGCACTCTATAACTATTATGATATACTTAAGATCTCCAGGTAAAATGAGTTTACGGACATCTCGCCATTTTCGCCCCGATTTCCTTACAGTATTTTACATATTGTCGACCATTTTATTCCGATTTCTCTGTATTTTTTTAAATTACGATATTCTGATCAACATGTGCTGCATACTCCCGGTAAATGCTTTTGAAGGCAAAAATCAATTCCGAACATCTCAACGGATTACCCGGTATCCGGGACACTAGTACGAAAGGCCTTCGTCACATTCTAATTTTTATAAGAGTATGTCATACACCTTTTTTATCGCCACAAAATCTTCCATTTATAGATTATTTAGATCATAAATTCCGATTTGGTGTAATAGTCTCGAAAGAACAAAAGAGTAAAAAAGAAATCTAACAAGCAAAAATCTATAAAACACTACAGATTCTCTCTTGCACATGTATGCATATACTCCATGCCGTCTATTTCATTATTTATGTGCCATTTTCCTATCATATATACTCAGGTTAATCTGTCTTGATTTTGTGGTTATCGATTTCAGTGATCACTTAGTTCACCAGTAATAAATTCATTTTTTTGTTCCGTCAAACAATCTCCCTCTTTCTCAAAAAACGATCAGAAGTACTTAAAAAAAGACCAAAGAATCGAGATTTTCGAAGCAGTCGAGTTTTCCTTTTTTTTTAGAAGCCTGAGGTGTGGTTGTTAGCAAAGAGAAAATACGTGTTCATATCCACCCACACCCATAACTCACTGAATTGAAATGGTTACCTGGAATGATATCGGTCGTGGAATTGAAGCTTGAATTAGTTGTTAAATAAATTTCATCAGCTGATGGTTGTTCAGTGTTGTTTATAGTAGGAATGTTTTGCGGCCAAATAGTTGCAGGGTGAGTTAGAATCTCGTTCTTTGGGTCTACTCGTGATAGAGAGCGATCTCGTTGTAATATTTTTGACACTCGACAGGTCATATCAGAGTGCCGTGTCCGATGGTGTTTCTTTCTCGGTAGCTGAAAGAAACATAATAGATTGAAGATGGTTATTCTAATGACTTACTGATTTCTTTCGGATGATATTGACACTCGTTTTTTTTCCTACTTCGTGCAACTGAATCTCGTTTTTCGAACTCTGAATCAGCTTTACTCGAGTGAGCAAAACTCTAGAACCATGAGCAACCTGCTGCATCATCTCGGAGGAAACGAATGCTTTTTATTATTTCTTCAATCTTTCTTGAATTGAAAAATCCATCAAAAGTATTGATTATTAAATTACTAGGGCTTCACATTATACTTGGAAACATACGTTGTTCTGTGTTGTCCTGTTACCGATCGCTTCACACACAAGAAATCTTCACAGTGGCACATTCCAGTACCGGAGATGGAATTGTCTACATTAATCTCCTTTGTAGATGTAATCAGTTTCCTTTCCTATTCGCTCTTTCTGAATAATGAAATTTTTTATCAATTTCAAAGTAGCACAAAGAATTAGTCTAGTCCTAAATGACAGGAATATTTTAGACTGCTACTCTGCAACAACATTCTATTTGATGGATCCACACATTCTTTGTAGAAATGCCATAGGGAAGATCGGGATATGAGTATGGTAAAATTTACGTCGATTCATTTTACTATTTCATTGTTTTTTCGATATAGTACATTTCAGCATAGCAAAAATATTCTAATCAATAATTGCATTCAAATAAAAGATGTAGATTTTTCTACAAGAGGTTTCATCTCATTGTTGAGTTTATTTGCATGTATCTCAACACGTCATTGGCTACAGAAGTTGAAGTTTGTACAAGTTATGATTGCTGGACTATTTTACTTCTGAATTTCAACAAGGAACAACACGAAAACTGAATGACTGCTCCGATAATTCGTTTCGTTAATTATATTGGAGATATTGAATGAGAAAAATCAAATAATTGAAAAAGGTAAACGAGCGTGTCTTTTGAGTGTAGGTATGGATTTTCTCATCATTCGCACGATACAAAAACACATTCTTCACGCCCGCCCACAAGTCAGTCTTTCGAAAAGCTTTAGTGAAGCATTTCGTTTTTAGCAGATTTCAAAGAAGAGTAAGTTATTAACCAACTACGTTCTGCTATCGTAGCTATTTCTGCTTATCTTTCTTTTGGCTTTTTACACATCTTTGGCATTTTATTTTGTACAGTGAAGCAGGCAGACCAAAAGTTCGTAGGATTTTGAATGAATGCTGAGCTGGCCGCGTAGATTTGTGGCATATGTATTCTTTTGAATATTTTAGTCACTTATATCTATTAAGTATACTCGCTTTAGTCCAGCAAATCTGAAGTTTTTATCTTTATATTTTGCGATTCAATAGAAAAAAATTATATAAAATATCGAAATGTAGGAAAGCGAGGACAAAAGTATTTTTTTAATATTTTTTTCTGAAATTTCATTACAGCTAAATTATCTTAGCTGCCCAGCGAACTGCATTAACCATCATCGTTGTTATATTATCATCGACGGCCCAGATACGATTTCCACCAGAGTGCCCAGCATGTGCGATCTGTACTATTCGACCATCAACTCCGACTCTCGGCCGAACGACGACACCTATCCGCTTAGGAGCACATTCTGTACAATTGGCAAGAATAGATGCTCCGTTGACTGGTACTCCTAATCTACTGATATCCATTTGAATAGCAGTAATAAATGTTTTTGGTAAATCAGTCCAAATTGGATGATTATTTAATACTAAACTGAATGTCAAGGTATTTGTAGACCCATTCATCGCTTGTTTTGACAATAAAAGTTGCGAAAGAATTTGCCACCTATTTTTTGAGACATGATAAGCTGCCCATTCAGTCATTACCACACCTGTGCCATTAAATTTCTGTGCATTGGTAATCGCCAGTTGTCCATTGATTGGCATATCGTTCTCCTTTAGAGCACCAGTTATTAAAATTACAACATCAAATACGCGTGCATCTGGTAAGCCAGAATACGTTGCAGTCCCATTTTGTACGTAGGTTGTTGTGATCCCACTGTCTTGTAGTCGATCGATTAAAGGTTGAAGAAGTGTACTTTGGTCATCACTGAGTAAGAGTGCCCTTTTGTGAGCTAGAATAAAAGGAAAGAAGATAAGTGAAATAATATTGTGTTCAAGGAAAAGCGACATGTGAAAACTCTTCTGATTTTTTTAATGGAAAAGAGAGTAACAAATACTATAGGGTTGTTTCAGAAAATGCGGAAAAGAGTTCACAAGTAAATAAAATAGAGTTGGCTGGATAGTATATGAATAAGCTCTTCCACGCATGGTGATCATTAAAAAGTGATTTAGCTATGCCACCGATTAGGAATGTTCTCTAACAGTTTCTATTTTTCGAAGAACTTTCATTTCGTTTTTTTTGGCAATTGCTGCTATCACTCTTGTGTCACGATCTAGCACAAGGCAACTCAGTGAGAAAATTTTGAAGGAAGAAAGAACTGTCTCCTCACTCCTCACTCTGTAATGGAAGTGCCTCCATTGTTAGACGCTTCCCTTGGAAAGCTCGATGCGAAAGATATATTAGAAGCCTCAGGGTTTCTATTACGTCTGAAGACTTTCGGATACTGTCCCGCGTCGGTCTTCCTTTCGGCACTGATAGTTAACATTGGTAAGTACCCTGCTTGTGATAAACGTACACATTGAGACGTCTTACATTGCACTCGTCGAGACATAATAATCCTATGCCTTAGCTCTACATTGAATAGGTGGCAATGTGCATAACGGAGCAGTTCATTCAAATCATTTGGGAACATTGAAATTGTTATAGGCCGATCATTGTCACATTTACATACATGTGCAATAGTGTAACATCATTAGAGAAACAGATACGGCGAATGAATGTCGTAGAAAGGAAAATGTATATCAGCACAATCGATTATTCGACATTCAGTAGGTAAATGGTATGAATAGCCTCTTCAAAATAGAAGTCTCCTCAGAAGCTTTTCAACGCCTGTACAGTTTAGAACCCCCGGGGATTTCTATTGCTGGGAGTAGAAACATCGACTTTTAATGGAATTGTTTTTAATGAATGTTTCAGTTGTAATTTTAACGAAAGTTTAATTAACACTTGTCATTGACCTGTAGTACACGTTGTATGCACCATTTATACCTGACTTTTTTTTTGCAGCAAGGAAGCCGCCCACAAAAACACATAATAGAAATACAGTGATGCACATACAACATAAGAAACAACGCTTCCGAGCTTCACAGCAATTTGACCGACATTGATACGATCGCTGCGGAACATGAATCGGCCTTGTATTTGAAGTGGAAATTCTATGATCTTGAGTACGCCTGGATGTTGGAGTTTGTAGAAGAGCATCTGTTTCTCTGTGGAGTCGAGTTTGTCTATGTGCTTGAGTATACATTGGTCCTTGTACAGCTCTTACTGCATGATCATCTGCCCCGTATGGCAGCTTCACCTCAGCGCCATTGAAATTGTTAGAGTTAGGTAAATCAAAAACTGATGATTTCTGTTAAAAAATACTTAGGTCAGTTCAAAAGTAGTTACGGAAGTATGATAATCCTTCAAAGGAGGGTTCGATAATGTTTTTCCTATACAGTCTGATAGAGAATAGAGCTTTCTTTTATCTATCAGACTGTATTGGGAAAAAAATTATTGAACCCTCCTGTGAAAGATTATCATGCCTTCGTAGCTAATTTTGGACTGACCTAAGTATGAGTGCACTAGTAAAATACACTCTCAACCAATGTAATCCCACTTAAATCAATAATATCCTCAATCGATAGAGCTCAAAATTATCGATTCAGCAGATCCTGCACCAAGTCATATTCTTTAAAAATCTTCACATAAATATCAAATATCATTTCGAATGGTTCCATCCATGCTCATTTTAACCCATTCTAGCCCATTCGTGTTTGCAATGGAAAAAAATTATTTTCTCAGTTGATAAGATTATACATATTCGGGTCACAATAAAACTCTTACCGCCAAACAAACAAACAAACAAAATCAAAATATGAGCTGCTGCTAACATTTTGCACGATCATGTGATAAAAAAATAAGTTCTACTGAAATTTTGAATTAGAAATATCTTACATAGACTGTAAATATTAAAATTCACATATCTTAGTCCCAACACGGCAACAGTAGGCCATATTTTGCAATTTTTAATTTAACAGTGTGTGTTTTAATGTGACTCGAATATATCTAATCGTATTAACTGACAACAAAATTTTTTCAATTATAAATGAGAACGAACCAGAGTAGTTTGGAGTGGACAGCTCGACATGATATTTTGTTTTGTTCGGAACTTTAAAAAAAATGGCTTGAAGCGGGGTCTGCAGCATGGATCATTTTAAGCTCTATCGATTGATAATGTTTTCAATTTAAATGAGAGTTGAAGTGGATTAGAATAAGTTAAAGCGTATTTTACCAATACTCAAAATAAGAAGACGACTTGCCGTCAGACCATACAAATATCAACAGTCAGCCAAGTTTAAAAACATACTCTTACGTTCGGCTCCGTCTTATTGAGCTTAGTTCTGACGAAATGACTTTCATGAAAGAAATGATTACACAGAACTTTCACTTACTTGAGCTTGATCGGTTTCAATGGTGCTTCTACCAGTAGCAATGTTATTACTTAAATTTCCAAACAAAGCTGAGTTTAGGTCTCAGTGTTGTCACGCTTACTCAAGCATCGTTCTTACCTGGCATTCTGACGGTTTTTATACTCTTCTACTTGTTGTTTGATTGCAAAAACTGGACGTAAACCTGCTATTGTAATATAGGCTCTTGATATAGGGCTCGTTCGATTTCCATTTTGCAACCATCGAACAATTGCTGCTCTCTCGTATGTCTGACCGTCCTCAGCAATCACTGGGTCGACAAATAATTCTTGAGTTATCGGGCAACAAAGGCTCACGGGATCTGACATGAATTCAAGTGTTTTTTTCTTAAGTTGTTAAAAAACGGAAAATGAAAAATATTTTCACTTTCAACTGTTTTTCGAATTTTTTGAATGTTATCTACTCACCTTCCTACTGACGTTAGATTAGTGATTTTTTTTCTAAAAGGAGTATGGTCGGTTTTGTCATAAGTCGAAAAGAAGAAAGCAAACAAGAAAGGTGTGAGAGCAACTGAAAGTATTCTCTGGGCATAGGTTGCGATATAGTCGCGGCGGGACCGTAATACATCATCACACACAAATAATAGATGGGTGACTATTTCATCGGTTGCTCAGTTCGTTAGCCTGTTCGTTCGCTGGGTGTGGGTGAAGACGTAATTAGGGCTGAGGCTGCCATTGTAAATGACGGTGAGAATAAGGCTGGAGGCCGACGAATATCTTCGAATATTATTTTGAATTTCTAGATATGAGTCATATTGTGTAGGGTTTGTCGACTGGATAATATCTTTTCTTAGCGTCATCCCAAGCAAAAACAAATCTACTTGGGACTATAGAAAATGAAGTTGTATCAGACCACGTAAAATTTGAGGATGTTGCTCATGTAAAAAAAAGTATGAGGAATGCGAGAGATGGACCACAATTCACTGCCTTTGTCTGCTGTTATAAACCAACATGGAGTTGTGAATAATTTCGATGCTCCATCGCTATTCATACTCAAATGTGAATAGTTTCGTGATAGTAAATACAGTGATATACCTTATACCAGGTTGACAATGAGAAGCATCTAGTTTGGTCATTTTTATAAGTAATATTTTCTTTTTGAGTTGTCCTTTATATATTATGACTTATTTATGTAATATATTCTGTATTATTCATCATCAACAACAACAGATAATTAGCTTCACAAAGAGTTTGTATCGGGGTCGACGTATATGTTCAAAATATAACACTTTTTTTAATTGGTTGTTTGAATGTTTTATCTCTTACTTCATTGATACCTCTTTACTTGTTGCATTATAGACAAAGTAATAATGATATGTCATGCTAATGCAAAAAAAGGAATAAAGAAAAAATTCTTTGCTTTACTCGAATAATGGTCATTCTTGTTCTGTTGAATGTATTTCAATCTAACACATATGCTCTTTCTCTCTATAATTTTTTGCATTCTTATTTTGATGAAAAACCTTAATATAATGTCACGCAGCATTAATATAACATGCGAGAATAATCAGAGGACTATTAAGGAGCATGTGTTAATTTCGTGTCGCACTAAAATAACTTGTTATTAATAATCGGTTACGAAGGAAAAAAAACTGAGTAATCTCATTTTCCGTCACTTACTGTGATGATAACAGAGTTGAAAGGTGATACGCGTATTGGAAGTTTTGAGTTAAATACTGAATTTTGGGGTGGGTATGGGTGTGGGGATTATCAAAATTGCAACAGTCACACCCACACCCTAGCACATTTGCGTATGAAATATAACAAGTATTGTAGTAGCACTGACTACGGTTGCGCTACACTTATTTTCTCTTTGTATCGATTTTTCACTCTTTAAACTGCTTTCATCCTCTTAAAGCAGAGATGGGCGAGTCAGGTTTTTTTTACCCAAGTGAAGTCAAGTCATTTGTAGATGAGACATGAGTCAAGTCAAGTTCAGTCATCCCTAACAAATAGAGGTGCTTAAGCCAAGCCCCAGTCAAGTCTCGAGTCAACAATCTTTTTTGAGTCAAACCGTGCACTTGCTATTGCTTTAAAAAAATTCTATTTATTTCTGCATTAATTTATTAAAAAAGATTTTTACATTTTAACATTGTTAGCATTTGCAATATTTTTCTTGACATTTTTTATCTATGCCGCCGAAATATAAAACCACTTTGAGAGAATCTAATTTACATCATCTTTGGTGAAAGACACCTGACTTGACTTGCATTTTTCAGCAATTTACAAGTCAAGTCAAGTTAAAAACGTTTCCTGTCCGAATCAAGTCATGCTCAGTCATAAGTCATAAACAAAAACGACTATACCAGCCATAAGTCAAGTCTTCGAGTCATCAAAAAGTTGCTCAAGTCAAGTCAAAGTCAGTCAATAATGACTTGACTCGCCCATCTTTGTCTTTAAGTTCTCTCTTATGCGGTATGTGTTTTTGAATATGGTTTCATAGAATCTTCTTATATTTGAACACTGTAGAAACTGTACTTTCCTTTCCTTTCTTTCTCACAAAGGAAAGTGAAAGTATTATCCCTAGTGATCGCATATTTTTGGCAATGCATAAGCTTGGTGGTAAGATATTTTGCGGCTTCTCACCCATCTCTTCATTACAGACATCAGTGAGTGTTATAATTTTGTTAATTAGATACTGAAGTAGTTAGACTGCTATGTTCACTTATTTTTCATCACAAATATTTAAAAAAAGCAGCATATGTCTATTAAAGACGTTAGCAATCCGCATCAGCTATCACCACAGACGTAAGTAAATATATATTGTTCTAATTACGCATCTGCGAAATAGAGTCTATTTTCACAACTAATTTTCTGCTCGACCTATTTTGAATTAGCTTACTGCTCTAATAGATGTCGGTGAATTTCACATTTTACCTCAAAGGGACTGCGCTAAGAAACTTTTCCTGAATAATATCACATTTCAATGGCTGAAAACAACCGTCATTCGGATATATTTAGCGATTATCGTCTAAACAATAATGCTTCAGGTCATTGGTATCAACTACTCCGCCAGCACAAATTTTGACTGATTCAGTACAAAACTTGGACACTGGTAAAGCACCAGAAAAAATTGAGACACTAAATATTTTCGATGATCGCGGATAAAATAAGGACGAAGAATGAGGACTAATTCATGCATAACTAATGCTTTGGACAAAATAAAGAATTATTGTTTTCTATTTAAATTGATCAGTTCTATTTAGAATGATAAAGCAAACGGTTTACGCCAACTGATAACAAAAAATAAATATAAATGTCAAGAATTTCATGAAGACAATAGCAATGTCAGTCAATCATTTAATCTCTTGTCAACCGTACAACGAAATCCTAAGAAGACATATTCTATTAGAAAAAAGAAATAATCCTCTATTTAATTATCAACTCTCGTTATTCATGATCATCAATCATTTGTAACGCATTTTCTACAACGCAGTTAAACCACGTTACTTAAAAGTTTTAGGTAAAATATTAAAGCAAATGTTATTAGTCACAATATACAGTTATACTAATGTTGTTTTCGTCAAGCCACCGAAGAAACAAGGAAACTTATATTATGTCTATTTATAACGTTAATTGTAGCAAGATTATTACAATATCGATATGAAAGATGGATATGGACACCAAAAGTATTGAAATCTTTTGCTAAAAAAAACATTGTACTCATCGAATCTGTTCATTTTCTAAACATTTTGTTGAACAACATCAACAAACAATTATACAACAACTTTATTATACAGTAAATGAACTACAGCAATATTTAATAAAGTTTCAATATGATGTATAGCAATGGCAACCAGCAATTGATCTAAATATTTTACTCACTGCTATTAATGAATTAGTAAAGAGAACTCAACAAAAATTGAGAGAAGAATTTGATTATAAAAAGATAATGTTCATATATGATTCAAATGATCGTCATTTTATTACAATATTTTATGATTTCCAACCTAACGAACAACAGGCATGTTTGAAAAGAAGAGATATATTGTTTTCTATATATTATCATATTCTTTAGATGTATATAGGAAAAATTGTGGTAGCCTCGGATTTAAATCCGAGCGTTATGTGTACTGCAAAAAGTAAAAAATTATGAACGACAGATTGGTTTTGACCAGACTGTCTACAAAATCACCTTGAAGAGTAGTAATGAATAGAGTTCAACCGGCTCACGTTGACGAACTTCATTCAAATGAACTAGAGAAATGTTCTAGCGGAACTTTTTCAAATATTTCTTTTCAAATGAACCTAACTTGAAGTTACTCTAGATGTTATAATATGGGTGGACCTATAGGCCCTCAAGGCCTACTATATAGGAATACCCATAGGATAGTCATTAAGGACCTATTGGTGCTCTTATATAATAGCACTTGAGGGACTATTGGTACCCATATATTAAAGGACTTGTGGACCTAGGAGTATCTCAGAGAATAGGCCTTGATAACTTGTGAGTTCCGCATAGCACATTACACGAGTAATAGATATCGAGTCTGGGATGTTTCTAACCAATCTTGATGATGATATGTATAGCTTTTCATGATGATCAAATCATGGAGCCGAAATATTTCGAAAGCCTAAGCTCATTGAAAAAAACTGTTCAAATAGTTCAGTTTATGATAGTGAAAGTTTTGACTGGCTCATCGGTTCTGAACTGGAGCTGAACTTCTCTAGACGAATGAACCATCATAGCACATATAGATATCAAAATTATGCTAGCAAGTCCTTCCTATAAAAACTTGATTTTCACTGTTTACTGCTCGTCCGATAGGACTTTGTGGCAAATATGGCTTAGATTTGAAGTCTTCGCCTTGAATTACCCCAAGAAAGTCGCTTTTTCTAAAACTTGATGTCTATTGGCTAGTGCTCAACTAATAGGATTTCGAGGCAATTAGAGCTTAGATTCGAGTTCTCCGCCCCAGAAAACTTCAAAGTATCATCATTTTGATCGCTTAGAACGTGGACAAAAGCAGAACCAATTTTTGTTTAAGTGTCTTTCTAATAGGCGACTTAGACTTCTTGTTTCCTAATGTTTTATATACCATTTTGTAGCTCGTGAAATATTCTATCAAATGATACATAATAGTGCGGGTTTTGTTCGATTATGAGAGGAACAGTTCTTTTACGAAAACCGACATAGGCCAATAATCACATAGGAAAATCACTATTTTTTCTATAACTCAGCAATGGCTCAATGAATCATTCTTATCTTCGAATTCGACCGAGACATTGTTGAGCTCGATAGTATGTAGAAAATTTCATCAAGATCGCACTCTCGTATCAAAAGGTATCGTGTAAACGGTCTGACACAT